ATATTTTTTTTACTTCTTCAAGTAAATAAAGATTACTTGTACAAGTAGTACCCCTGACTGAATGTTGGAAGTAAGAGTTGTCTTTCTTCAATAATCACCTATTTAAGTAGTACACATAAATCACCAGACTAAGTCCATTGCTAAAATTATCAGAACCAACATCTGTGTTGATATGATGACCGGTCATGTCAGGTGATGACCTTGTACTGAATCTGGGATAATGACATGAAAAATCACTTGTTTAAGTATCATACCTCTATTTTCTTCCAAAAAATCACTTCTTTTAAGTATTATTATTTTAATTACCCCCACTAATTTCAACACCCCCGAACAGTGAAATTTTGATCGCGAACAGTAAAATTTCTTACATAATATGTAAGATGAAACCTTGAATTTTACAGGAAAATTACTCCCACTGCAGGGAAAAATCTGTTTAGAAAGTATCAGTTCATTATGTAAAGCCTTTATTATTGCATTTTTTCAACAAATATAGAGTTTACAGCTAATTGATTGCATCAGAGGCATAAACCTTGCTATTTAAAAGAAGAAAAAGGTTCATTTTTTTCCAATTTTACTAATAATAAGATATAATCTAAACCTATATGTTTAAAATTTTGGTAAAACTACAAAATCACAATTTGAGACAAAATTTCAAATTTGCTACTTAAATAAGTGATTTTTAAATCACTTATTTCAGTAAGTCCCCTGACTGTATATGTATTAATCAACAACATATTCAGCTATGTTGGATAGAATTCAACCTTGTACAAGATTAGGTCAAGTATACTTGTACTTGTACATATGATTATATAAGACTTAGATTGACTTTTGGAACATTCAAATAAAAGATGATTGTCAGTCTGTTTTGTAGAATATCAACTCAATTTTCGAACAGTAATATTGCCAGGCAGACAGGAAAAACTTTTTATTTTTTATTTTATTTTTTGTGTGAAAAATCAGTTTCGATCAGAGAATATTGTTGTTAAGCAGACAGTAAATTCTTGTTTTACATTCTATACTGTGGTCATGGTGGTATAAGCTTTGTGAAACTGAAGGAATGATAATTGAGCACTGTTGACACACTTTAAAGAGATCATCAGACAATTTTGCAAAGCATGATTTTGATTGAGTTAAGCCATTTCAATCGATATTTTATAGTGTGTCCTTCTATGTTGTGATGTTACACTATTGTTTCAGGTAGGGTGAAGGTTGGCGCCTGTAAAAAAACATTTAAACCCGCTGCATTTGTTTGCACCTGTTCTAAGTCAGGAACCTGATGTTCACATGTTCAGTGGTTGTTGTTTGTTGATGTGGTTCATAAGTGTTTCTCGTTTCTCGTTTTTTATATAGATTAAACTGTTGGTTTTCCTGTTTGAATGGTTTTACACTAGTCATTTTTGGGGCCCTTTATAGCTTGCTGTTCAGTGTAAGCCAAGGCTCCGTGTTGAAGGCCATACTTTGACGTATAATGGATTACTTTTACAAATTGAGACTTGGATGGAGAGTTGTCTCATTGGCACTCATACCACATCTTCTTATATCTATGATTGAGAATTGTCAAAAGAAAGCTTGAGGAACAACTTTATATACGACTGCAAAAAATTTTTTTTGCGGTCGTATATTGGTATGACATTGGCGTCGTCGTCGTCGTCCGAAGACAGATTGGTTTTCGCACAGTAACTTTAGTTTAAGTAAATGGATCTCTATGAAATTTTACCATAAGGTTCAATATTTTAAAAGGAAGGTTGGGATTGATTTTGGGGATTATGGTACCAACAGTTAAGGAATTAGGGGCCAAAAAAGGGCCCAAATAAGCATTTTTCTAGTTTCCAGACAATAACTTGTGGAAGGGTGTATGAATCTCTCTGAAATTATACCACAAGTTTCCATACCACAAAGGGATGGTTAGGATTGACTATGGGGGGTTATGGCTCAAACCGTATAGGAATTAGGGGCAAAAAAGGGGGAAAAACAAGGGTTTCATGGTTAATGGACAATTTAAAAGCAGTGTGAGGGAGGTAATCCAAATACATTTAAAGTATTAAAAAAAAGTTGGATTACCTCCCTTACATTGCTTTTAAGGTATTATTTATAAATATTTTGTATTGTCTTTAGGTGATTAGCTGTCAATTAATTTTTAGAAGTTACAATTAAAGGAATATAAATTTTAGCCATGATTATGTCATGTATGTATGTCATTTTCTATTTTAAGACTTTTAAGATGTATTTAAATTGGTAATTATGGTTGCAAACTCCATTGGAAATTTGAATTGAGATTTTGACCATATCTTGAGAGAAAGAATTTTTTTTTTTTTAAAAAAGGGGGGGGGGGGGGGGGGGGGGGGGGGGAGATTAAAAAGAATTTTTCTCATTTCAGATTTCAGAAATTAAAAAGAAAATTTCTTCAAATATTTTTTTTTTTTTTGGAAAATAAAGGGGGGGGGGAGGGTCAATACGCAACAGCATGGTGTATTGCAAAAAAGCAAAAAATTGAATATAAATTCAAATCATATAACCAATTCTAAGTTCTTTGACTACAGTTATTCTGTGTCAGAAACCTATTATGTGTCAAATATTTAATTACAATCCAAATTCAGACCTGTATCAAGCGTGAATATTGTGTCCATTTTTGCCCCAACTGTTCAGGGTTGGCCCTCTGCGGTCGTATCCAGTGAGCTCATCGAAGCATTTTATTTTTATTTCATCTGCAAAAATCAGAAAAAAGAATAGACCGGAAAGAGTAAAAACAGACCGGGCAGGAGAATAAACAATAATTTTTGCATGGCCTCATATAATTATACCCCCGCTATAAAAAAGTGGGGCTATACTGTTTAACCTCTGTCTGTCCATCCATCCGTCAGTCCATCCATCCCTCCGTTTCATGAATATTTTGGTCGCATCTTTCTCAGGAACTGCAATCAAGGATTTCTGAAATTTGGTTTCAGGATTTATATACGTCAGCTATACCGTGTGATGCATTTTCAGATCCATCACTCAACAACTTCCTGTTTACCGAACACTTGTATCATTTTACACATGATAGCCAAGTTCAAAATTTTCGTCACATTTTTCTCAGGAACTACAATACAAGGATTCTTGAAATTTGGTTTCAGGGTTTATATAAGTCAGCTGTACCGTGTGATGCGTTTTTAGATTCATCACTTAAAACAACTTCCTGTTAACGGGCGGGGGTATCATTAGTGAGCAGTAGCTCACACATTTACTTGTTTTTATCAAAAATCTAAAATTGGTCCTCGTAAGACGAGTCACAAATAAGGTTTATGGGTGAGTATAAAAAAATAAAAAGATGTGGTATAAAGTACAGTCAGAGATATAACTCTATAGGGTTATTACAGAAAATAACTGGCGTGTGTTATTACAGATACTTTCATGAGTTGTCTACTCTTTATTCCTTAAATTTTCTAAATCTGTAATAACATATATTTGTTATTTGTAAAATTATTTCATTTATAGTGGCCTCTAGGGATCTCTTGAGACTTTGCCAGAAACTAAATGCATAGCCTTGATAACTAATTTTTTAATTAAATTAATACATTTTTGATTAAAAAATTAGGTAAATCAATGAGACAAGGCTATTAAAGGATAAACTTAGCTGTGATAACAAGGCTCAGTTATTACAGGAATTTAACTTATTATATAAGACACTTGGGAATTACTGAGAAACTTGCGCAGAACCTCATTACATGCTCTGGTCATTATTTCTTACAATAAATTAAAATACATTAATTAAGCATGATGTATGTCTGAGCAAATGCTTTGAAGTGATATAGAGAAGCTGTGATAACACCCTTTAGTTATTACAGGCATTTTTTTCTGTAATAACATATAGGTGTACTATGCAAAATTGGCAAACTATGAACTGTTATATCTTTCAATAGTTAAGTATACATATAGACAAAAGTAATATCAATAGAACTTTTATACATTTTAACTAAACTAATGATGTATATTGTCCCTTTGAAACATATAACATACATAAGTTATCACAGTTCTTTGATTTTTTAGTCCACAATAACAAATGTATGTTATTTTTCTGTAATAACCCTATAGAGTTATATCCCTGACTGAAGTACATCAACAAAAATACCGAACTTCAAGGAAAATTCAAAACGGAAAGTCGCTTAACAATTGGCAAAATAAAATAAAAAACATCAAACAGATCCATCACTTGGTACAAGCATTTCCTTATGTAGAAAATGGTGGATTAGGGCTTCAACAATGAGCAAAGCCCTAAAAGGTCCTTTTTAAATACTATATTTGGTGTATAATGATAAGATTTACCTCTTTGTTTGCATGGGTAATCTGATCATGACCTTATTTTTAATTTTCAGTGGTGTTAAGCTTTGTGGTGTATTTCTCAGATACCAAAACTTGGGAAAAGCAATAGGTTAACTATACATGTATCATGTATATAGCATAGTTATCGTGTTAAAGTGATGCCTATTTAATGTCAACATTTACAGTAAACTATCAATATTACTTAAAGGCAAGACATATCTCTGTGTCAACAGTTTATTTTTATACACAATACAATAACTACAAGAATCATGCAAATAAAAAAGTTGGATGGATTACTGTTTACGGTCCAGTGCCAAATTAAATGCACGTTCAGGACGAGAACAAGATAATGTGATATTCATATAAACCTTGCCTTGTACTAGCTATAGACTGACATGCTGAGCAGGGTTTTAACGTGCTGGTTCACAGGTAACAGCCTGCAGGAGCCAACCAGTCTTTGCTCTTACCATCTTACTCCTAAATGTCGTTTGCTAAGCGAAGAGCAGCAAATACCAATTTTCAAGTCTGTGGTATGACCAAGCTTGTGATTGAACACATGACCTGCCACTCTCAAGGAGAGCATGCTACCAACAGACCTCCAAGGCGGTCAAATAAAATTTAAAAAAAGGCAAATGAGCTCATCATTGGTCATGTTGGTGGACCAAAATGAAAATTTTGACAAATTATGCTTTACTTTTTAGGTTGCACATGTGTAAAATAGACAATATGTTCTTGATGATATCCAATCCTACAGAACAGGTCAAGTAACCATGGTAACTCAGTGTCGATGATCAAAATAAATATTGCAAAAGGATCCTAAATTTCTGAGAGCAAGGTGATGTTCCATAAACAGGTGATTTATACCTTTGAATTTTAGGTTTATACTCTGTACTTTAAAAGAAATGTAAAAGTTGTGAATTATATCTGACTTAGATTACTTTTTACTGATCTTAATCTCCTGGAAAGTCAGTAACTAATAACAGGGATACTAGGACTAACACTGTTATCAGAGTAAATTGTTAAAACAACAGATGTGCAATAAAAATTGTTTGATGTTATAAAAAAAACAAAGAAAAAAAAATGCACGTTGAACTCTTAAAACATTTGTAAAAGATATAGAGTTGGGGATGGGGACTGGAAAGACTAATTTTAATGCATCCATTAACTTACAGATTAATTAAGCTTGATATAAAAAAGGTTATACTAACACCTCTGACATTTTAGTTTGAGTCTTCATAATAATTTATTTTGATTGCCATCCAACTGCATTTATACTGGTAAAATTTTTAAGTGGTGTTTCTAGAAGCTTAATGGGTCAAGATGCGTAATTCATTTCCCATAGGCGACAATGGTAGCGTTTTCTTCAATTCCTCTGTCCATATTGTAAAATTGGAAGAAGGTTCTCACACAGCCTAAGAAGAAAAGCATGTCTGATCTGCTGATTGACAAAATTTAAAGATGCAGTACTACCATAAAAGTTTTGTCTTATTTTTATCACAATGCCCAAGCAGGAAAGACGTTTGAAACACAGGCACTTGTTTCTGTCAATGGGGGTTTCCAATCCACACTTGTACTATTTGTGATGCCGCTTGAGCAAGTGATAAGTCACACAGTTAAGTTCTATACAAACATTTAATAGCTCCAAAGTTTTTGCATCATTATTGTACAGTCTTCTTGAGTCGGTTTCACGAAAATACTTACAACAAAGATTGATCGTAACCCAAGTCAAAGTGGACAGCAGTTCTTACCTGACAGCTGTTCTTTAGCAATAGCAGTTCATGTAGCATTCACAGTTGCCAAATTCAAGGCAATGGTTAATTTGCATATAGGCATTCTAATAGCATTCCATAGCAGTTTCTTAGCAGTTTATTCAGCCTTCACAGTTATTTAGCAGTTATTTTTGACGAAAAATTTAAATGACATACCCGAAAACTGCTATTTTCTCTGAATATTCATGAGAACTGCTATAATAACAGCTATCAATAATGAATATTCATACAAACTGCTAAGTTGTTCATCCTAATATGGTTTTCTAAACTGCTTATTACTGCTATGGATCAGATCCGCCAAAAGTTGGAATACAAAGGTACATGTACATGAATATACAGTGTATAAGATATGAATGCAAAAATAAAATTCTAATATTTTAAGTCTTGTTGAAATTTCAAAAAGTTGTAGTAACTTATATTTGAAACTTTAGCAGACTGCAATCAAATGATGCTATTTAAATACAATCACAGACTTGTTAAGGGGCTGTAAGCATGTTTTGTGAGTACTGTACCTGGCATTAGACCCCTTATTAATTATGTCAGTAGCCGAATAATAGGAACGGTTAAGAATGCACTTTAAATATCAGTGCTTATAAAAATCAACTTATTCAATAAGAGTGGTTACTAGAGACTATTAATTACCATGACTAAGTGATTTTCAGATTAAAAGTTATTCTTTTTTATTATTCTTTAATTAACCAAATGTATACTACTAATTTGAAGCCTCTCTCTATATATATTTTATGTGGACCAAAAGACAACAGTTATCTCCTCTTTTTAATTTCTTAATACATGTAATATATTATGTTTCCACTTTCTGAAACAAACTTAAGAAACATATATTAACTTCATTAAATGGACTGTTTGGTCAATATTAACCAATCAGCTATTTGCAGCCTAGGTTTCCCTACTATTCCCTCCCCCTTTTTTTCAACTCTTGAATATGATTTTTTTTTGTTTTTTTTTTACAAAATTATATCAAAATATTCTTTTTTTTTTGTTTTCAAATAACATCTTGCTCTGTAAGTTTATGCTAGTATTTTATCACAATCCTGTAAACCAGATATTCTATGTGAATAAACAACTATCCCCCTTTTTTTGGGCTTTCTGTATGATTTCTGTTTTCCTCTACAAAGTCATGAAAGTTAGTCATGAAATACACATGCATTAAACTATACTTCAACTTACTGTAGTGCAGGTGTGTGAAAGTATTCCATTTAGCAAAAATATTTAACTTTATAATTGACAAAAATACAGTTTTTCACCAGCAAGTATTTACACACAGCTTGGAGCCAAAATGCACATTTGAAAATGATCAAATAATCTTCAAATAAAGGTTTACTTTCAAGCTGAAAACACAGCCAGATTCAAGCATTTTTGTAACAAAGATTAAAACCAAAACTGCTATCAAACTGCTATCGAACTGCTGTCATAACTGTTGTCCAATTGACAAATTGACAGCAGTTTAAGAAGGTATTCAAACTGCTAAGATGAATGCTAAGAAATGGTGAAATAAAGCAGTTTTTCAAACTGCTATTAGATGGACTGCTATGAACAGCTAAAAGACTGCTAAAAATATGAAGAACTGGTAAATAACAGCTAAAAAACAGCTAATGATAGCAGTTCAATTTGACTTGGGAAGTCATGAACAATTCAGTATACTTATGATCAATCTTTGTCATAAGTTTCTTTGTGAAACCAGTGGCGAACCAGAAATTTTCATAAGGGGGGTCCACTGACTGCCTAAGAAGGGGCCACTCCAGTCATGCTTCAGTGATTCCCTATATAATCAACCAATTTTTTCCACAAAAGGGGTGGGGGGGGGGGGGGGTGGGGCACCCTGGCCCCCTCTAAATCTGCCTCTGGAAACTGACTCCTGCTCTTCAAAAAATCTCAAATGTTTATGCCCAGTCAAGTACTAAAAATAGCATCATGTCCCATACAGGTTTTTTTATTTCTATTTATAGTTGAGTTCCTCACTCTGAGGCGCATTACGGATATTGACCCATTTGGATCATATCTTGGAACCAGTAGGTAAACAGGACCAGTTGACAGTTCTCATCACTTGATATCTTCCTTTGTATAACATGTATCATTTGCGTTAACTTCTCCTCTGAAATTACTCGGACAACTGGAACCAAACTTGTCCTCAATCATTTCTTTGGGTAGCTTACGTCTAAAAAAGGTATGTTGGATTCTCAATCCATCCAACAAACTTTGCCACCAAGGGTTAAGATAGTACATATGGGGTAAGTTATTTATATGAAAATTATTATAATTAGAGAAAATCTGATAATGCAGAAATATTTAGAATGTCAAAATCTGATAATGCAGAAATATTGAGAATGTTCCAGATCTACCATATATATATATATATCTACCATGTCTACATGCAGCTAGTCTTTCTTCTACCAAAATTGTCAGACAACCCCTTATAGGAGTTATTCCCCTTAAATGACAATATTTTTCAGTTTTTGCTATTTCATTATATTGGAAACTCAAATAAATAGAGAAAAACTAAAATGTAAAAGTATCATCTTCACCAGCCAAGGAGGTGATCCTGTCCCTCCTCTCAATAGTATCATCTTCACTAGCCAAGGAATATGATCCTGTCCCTCCTCTCAATAGTATCATCTTCACTAGCCAAGGAATATGATCCTGTCCCTCCTCTCAATAGTATCATCTTCACTAGCCAAGGAATATGATCCTGTCCCTCCTCTCAATAGTATCATCTTCACTAGCCAAGGAATATGATCCTGCCCCTCCTCTCAATAGTATCATCTTCACTAGCCAAGGAATATGATCCTGTCCCTCCTCTCAATAGTATCATCTTCACTAGCCAAGGAATATGATCCTGTCCCTCCTCTCAATAGTATCATCTTCACTAAACAAGGAATATGATCCTGTCCCTCCTCTCAATAGTATCATCTTCACTAGCCAAGGAATATGATCCTGCCCCTCCTCTCAATAGTATCATCTTCACTAGCCAAGGAATATGATCCTGTCCCTCCTCTCAATAGTATCATCTTCACTAGCCAAGGAATATGATCCTGCCCCTCCTCTCAATAGTATCATCTTCACTAGCCAAGGAATATGATCCTGCCCCTCCTCTCAATAGTATCATCTTCACTAGCCAAGGAATATGATCCTGTCCCTCCTCTCAATAGTATCATCTTCACTAGCCAAGGAATATGATCCTGTCCCTCCTCTCAATAGTATCATCTTCACTAAACAAGGAATATGATCCTGTCCCTCCTCTCAATAGTATCATCTTCACTAGCCAAGGAATATGATCCTGTCCCTCCTCTCAATAGTATCATCTTCACTAGCCAAGGAATATGATCCTGTCCCTCCTCTCAATAGTATCATCTTCACTAGCCAAGGAATATGATCCTGTCCCTCCTCTCAATAGTATCATCTTCACTAGCCAAGGAATATGATCCTGTCCCTCCTCTCAATAGTATCATCTTCACTAGCCAAGGAATATGATCCTGTCCCTCCTCTCAATAGTATCATCTTCACTAGCCAAGGAATATGATCCTGTCCCTCCTCTCAATAGTATCATCTTCACTAGCCAAGGAATATGATCCTGTCCCTCCTCTCAATAGTATCATCTTCACTAGCCAAGGAGGTGATCCTGTCCCTCCTCTCAATAGTATCATCTTCACTGGCCAAGGAATATGATCCTGTCCCTCCTCTCAATAGTATCATCTTCACTGGCCAAGGAATATGATCCTGTCCCTCCTCTCAATAGTATCATCTTCACTAGCCAAGGAATATGATCCTGTCCCTCCTCTCAATAGTATCATCTTCACTGGCCAGGGAATATGATCCTGTCCCTCCTCTCAATAGTATCATCTTCACTAGCCAAGGAATATGATCCTGTCCCTCCTCTCAATAGTATCATCTTCACTGGCCAAGGAATATGATCCTGTCCCTCCTCTCAATAGTATCATCTTCACTGGCCAAGGAATATGATCCTGTCCCTCCTCTCAATAGTATCATCTTCCCTAGCCAAGGAATATGATCCTGTCCCTCCTCTCAATAGTATCATCTTCCCTAGCCAAGGAATATGATCCTGTCC